CAGCTTTCCAGCGCTGGAGAGAACTCAAGGAGCTGGAAGGTCTGCGATCGGACGCCGAGGTTGATTTGTTTCTTCTCGATAGGTGAGTAACATTGGTTTTGCTTTGTTTCACAGAACTAATATATGCTGGCTTTTGCTTGAATATGCTCGTGTGTCATGTTCGCTTGTTTGTTCATCTGCAATCGTATTGTCGTTCCCTTCAGCTATGATAAAGACACATTCATTTCCACACCCTAAGCCTGGAGCGTCTAAACCTCCTCCACTGTCTGTTTCAAGCATCAGCTCCCAAAGTGTGTCCGAAAAATAAGATAATATGTTTAATACAGCAGATAATAATACAGCAGATTCCGCCATAATCGTTGCCTGGGTTGCGTACGTATGTGTGGGGCGGAGCTATCAAAATAGGGCGAGACCCTTTTGGGGTAGGGGCGTGTTTGTTTAGGTGATTTGAAATATCAACATTGGCTACCAGAAATCACTTACCCCACCTTTAACTTCACAGGTCATCAGTATCCTTTGTAATTAAAGGGATAATTCATTAAAAAATGAAAATTCTGTCATCATTTACTGACCCTCAAGTTGTTCCAAACCTGTATGTCTTTAATTCTTCTGTGGAAAACAAAAGAGCATCTTTTGAAAAATGTCACAGTGCTTTTTTGGTCCATAAAATGTAATTCTTCGGTCACCAAAACAGTTTAGTTACCAACATTCTTTAAAATATCTTCCTTTATGTTCCACAGAATAAAGATCAGATTTCGATCAACATGGTGGAGAGTAAATGATCACAGAATTTTCATTTTTGGCGAATATTCTGTTTAACTCAATGTGTTTGTGTATGTTTTTGGACAGCTAAATTTCTCTTCTGGGGATCAATGTGTCTCACACACCTTAGCAAGATGGCAGAGGATCTGATTTTATACGGTACAAACGAGTTCTCCTTCATCATTCTGACTGATGCATACAGGTGAGGACAGCATATGATCCATAATAGGAATATCATTCAGAATTTCAAAATATTTCACACTGATTGAATTTCACTCACTAAGCTCATCAGGCTGTGCATGTACCCTTGACATATAAAAGTTCTGGGTCTGACCTGGGTCATGTTCCAATCCCATTTCTATCATTGCTTTACTTATTTGCAAAAAGCACAAAAATAAAACACATCAAAGAATCCTGAAACCTGCACAACTGTTTTCAACATTGATATAAATGTTTTGATATAAAAAACATTACTTGAGCACCAGATATGCATATTAGAATGATTTCTGAAGGATCACGTGACACTGAAGACTGGAGTAATGATCCTGAAAATTCAGCTTTGCATCACAGGAATAAATTACATTTTTAAATATATTAAAATATAAAACAATTATTTTAAATTGTAATAATATTTCCCAATATTTCTGTTTTTACTGTATTTTTTATCAAATAAATGAAGCCTTGAACATAAGAGTAGTTTGAACTCAAGAACGTGTCTTGTGTGTAGGCCCCGAAATAAAGTCATAAAAAAGTCACAGCAGACAGAAATCATTAATTTGAAGCCCTTGGGTTAACAGTATTTTTCCTTACATTACTACCATGTTCTGCATTATTTTCACCCCACCTGGGTGTATGCACATTTTCATCATGAAACTGTAGGAGCTGCTGGCTTGAGCTTTAGGCAGAGTTGCAAATTAATTACGGTAATTCAAATGACTTTTATGGTACAGTTGCCCAGAAATGTCAGTGAGTACACATGTACCTGCTCACGTCATCACACATTCTACATTGTTAGAGCAAATCGATTTTCTTATACTATAATTCTTTATGGCCTGTGAAATGTTCGGCCTTGTTAACATTAACTGATTTATCTTTATTAACCACAAACTGATTGCTGCACAGCCGGTACTGACCTTAGTTAAATAGTAAATGTTCTCTCAGAAATAATTATTGCCTATTTATTAACAACATTATCATGTTCGGAAAAGCTGACTATCTGCCACGTAGTGCAGGATTCAGTATGTTGTCTTAATTGGTGGATGATATTCAACACAGATACTGTGAACACGAGCTGGCTGATGTGTGAGGGATTCAATCCACTTCTGCTTTGTATGTGTGCCTAGTGTGTGTAGTTAATCAGAGCTGTTGTATTTGTGTTTGTGAGAGCAGCACTGGGAGCAGTTTAATGCCTCAGAAGAAGAACGCAGACAGCCTGGAGCTCATCCGCAGCAAAGCAGGACGAGTGTTTGGCAGAGTAAGATACAACACTGACTAATGAAGTCAACCCGAGACACCAGTACTGGCCTACAGAGATACTACTGTCATTGAAATAATTAACATTATGATTAAGGTCAATCTATGGGAAATTTAATAAATAGTATTAGGGCTTTCAGTTTAGTTGCTATTCATTTAGGGATGCACAATGTAATGGTACCTTATCAGTTATCGAATATTGGATGTTTAATAGCATGCTTATTTCTCCTATTTTTAAAATTAGATTACCTTCACTGTCATCCAACTCTCACCTAAAGTTAATCTTTGAAAACATTAATAATTTAACAATGCCGTTAAATATAATTTTGAGCAAATCTCCAAATAATTATTCATTTTTCAGATTGTGCTTAATGTTACGATGTCTAAATTTACTTTTAAAATGACTGACTTCAGTTTATAATGTTTTATTTTTTACGTTTTTTAAACAAAATAGTGTAATATTTTAATATAGACTATTTATTGATTATCGGTAATAACATTTAAATATTTATCAGAATATTTTTAATAAAAACAATATTAAAAAATAGTATAATATTAAAATTAAAATAATACATAAAATATTATTTAAAAAAGAATACAAATTAACATACTTAACAGACAAAGTAGTATACTATTTTGTATATTGTCCATATATTGGTTATAACATAAAAATATTTATTGGCTTATTGGCCAGAAGTTTCATATCATATCAGTATTTTAAATATTATTTATTAAAATTAATAAAAATGAACATAATTTGAATATTGCCATAACATGAATTTAATTGTTGACTTATTAACCATAATTTCCATATCAGTGCACACCTATATTAATTATAAGAAAATAATATTACAAATATTAAATATAATAATATTTAAATATTTAAAATAATAATATTAAAATACAAATATTTTATATAATTAACATACTTTTAAATAATTAACATACTTAATCATACCCCATGAAGGTAAGATAACAATTTTTACAACAAAAAAAACGTAAGGTTTTGTTAAGGCTTTATCTAATTTAAATTTCATTGTAATACAGTGTGCAGGGTTTCTGATGACTCTCAAGGCCTTACCCAGCACATACAACAAAGAATTACAGGTATGTCCATGACAGCCGGAAAATACGATCATTTTACTTTAAAACATTTTCTGAATATATGTTTTGTCACTGCAGGAGGACAAGGAGGCCATGCTTGACACATACGATACAGTACACACTGTGCTGCAGGTGGCAACAGGCGTCATTTCAACTCTAAAGGTGAGAGACGGGTTAGAACACAATGTTGTTTTGTCACGAACAATGGCAATCAAAAACAAAACTGTTACTTCAGGTAAATAGTAAGTAGGTGAAATGCTGAATGAGATGCAGAAGTGTTTGAGTATGTCATAATCCATTGCCAGTCTAAAATGTGAGCGGTATAAAAAATTGTTGTTGTTTCATTTCCTTTTTTATTCATTGTTGAGCAGTAGATCTTAAGCACTTGTACTTTTCCATTCCTCAGGTCAACCAATCAGCGATGGAAGGGGCCCTCTGCCCAGATATGCTGGCCACTGATCTTGCCTACCATCTGGTCAGAAAGGGAGTAAGTCCATCAATCCATCAGCTTTCAGATTTCGCATGTCAGTAGAGCTGAATGAAATCTGACATATATACACATATATCAAAGATGCCTTTCAGAGAGGCCCACAGTTGTGCTGGGAAAGCCGTTTATATCGCTGAATCTAAGAACATCCATCTGTCCAAACTCACTGTAGAGGACCTTCAAATTGTCAGGTCAGCAGTCACATTCAAACTAAAAGTACATGACAGTATATGATATGTTTTATTTAGATTTTTAAAAAATGTTTTTCTTAATCTCCAGCCCTTTGTTTGACAAGGATGTTTCTTCAGTGTGGGACTACACAAAAAGCATTGAACAGTACAGCACCCCCGGTGGCACGGCCAGGAATAGCGTCACGGCTCAAATCCCGCACTTTAGAACATGGTTACAGGCACAAAAACAATAACCATAGTCTCATTTCTACAACGGTCAGCAGTAGGTGCTCTTTTATAGATGAATTTGGCATTTTATGCCTGCATGTTACATATAAGTAAACTTCTATTGCTTCCAAAATGTGAATCTTTATCTGACAAACAATATGTACAATGAAATATAGTTTCAACTAAATAAAGAATTTGTGTTGGCACTTCATTTGAACTTTTATTAACATCTTTGGAAAGATTATATTGAAACTTACACTCCACATGCCCTGCATATGTACACAATTTGTGGTACATATTTGTATCAAGTTGAATCATCGAACCAAAGCCATATGAAACATGGAAAAGTCATTGAACTTTACATGTGAATTTACAGTGAAATAATCTTAAATTAAAGAATGAAATAATGGAGGATCAGAAAGCTTCAAATGGACCACATTCAAATCTCAAGCTGTTTTATATTTTTGAAGACGTATATACAAGTATAATTATTGGTACATATAAATATAAATGGAAATCCTTCCCAGCAATTTATATATACATATATAAAAAGAGATTTTAAAATACTTTAAATGCAGTAACGATGAACAACCAAAAAAGTAATGGAAAACAGATGAGAATCCTGAAATGATCAAAGTCAGATAAAGCTGCCACAACTAAAAGAGAATATCGGAAGACATGATAAGATGTACCAATGAGACAATTAATAATTGTGAACACAAAAAAATAACTCAATATGGAACATCCTTTGTTAAAAGAGATGTGGTCTCTACCATTTAATGGAAACACCTTTGTTGTCCAAAAACACAAAAGAGGCACAGAAACAGGGTGATCAGATTGGGCAGGACACACAGGTTGTGAGCTGGCACAGATGTGTACACAACTCGTCCATTCAGATTCTGCACAGGACGGAATACTCCAGTCATTGGTTTTTCTGTTCCGAATAACAGCTGTTTATCCATTGACATCAGCTAAAGCAGGAAAAGAAAGATGCATTGGAATTCAAATCTGCCTTTTCATAATCATATACTATACAGGTGAAAAGGGTTTAGCTAATAGAACTCACAATACTTTCCATAGTTGTTTAATCACAGTGCATTAAGATAATTGTTTTGTTATACAAGTTTTATGGACTGTTACGTTAAAATATGCAAATTATCCATTACCTAATTAAATATGCACTCATTTGCACATTGGATAAACCCAGGTTCAAAATTCTGGTTTCATTATGTTGACATAATCGGAGTTAAAGGTTTTTACAGAGAGGATTTTGATATCTCCTTTCTATCAGACCATAAACCAGAAATGACTGTCAACAGCAAGAAAAAAAAAATCATGTTTTTAGGAATAAATGTTATGTAAATCAATCGACTGATATATGAACAAACCTCTCTGTAAAAACCTTCAGATAGGAATAGGAAAGTTTGATATTTGATATAAGACTTATTTTGAGAAAACAAGCTTTAAATGTATGTATTGTAATTGAAATTTACAGATAAAGTGATAATAAAAGATAAAGTGTCATAAAATAACACTTAAAATAAAAATGTTATGGAAGAAAAATGGTTTTGTTTGTAGTGTCTTGCTTTCATTCTCCTGAGATACTGGTGATTGTAATCAGTGTTGACTAATATTTAGATCTCAGTCTGGTTTATGCATAAAAGGAAAAAAAAAAAGTCTCTCTGTACCTGCTTTTTGCTTATGGGCAGAGTCTGTTGGAAAACCGTCCACACAACGGCCTGGTCACAGCCTGGTGTGGTCAAGGAACCCAAGTACCGATAGTAGTTCAATTTATTGGCTTGTGGGATGATGTCGGTCAGTTTAAAGTCTTCAATTTCACTGCTGTTCCCTTTTGATCATATTGGGTAATGTGGAACCACAATACAGACAAACAAAACAAAGTTGAATAGACAAACTAATAATAAAAAAATAAATAACATGTAATCTTAAATAATAACTCACCTTCATACCGGACTTTTCCTAAAGCCTCTATGACTCTGTCCAGCTGTTTGTTTTGGCCAGAAGTCACCTAAAGGGGGATGGCAAAAACCAGGTATTAATATAGACCTCAAGTTATCGACATGGTTCATTAAAGGGTTATTTCTCCTTAAATGGCTTTAGTATGAATGAGGACTGGGGCTCTCAAACCCAAAATGACGAAAAGGTAATTTAAAATGTCATAAAAGTAGTCCATATGACTCCTGCATGTTCTATATATATAACATTGTCTGAAGTTGAACTGAAAATTATTCAGTGTAAATCTTTATATCTCCAATCTTAATAGCTCTTGGCACATTCATGTGATGTTTGATTTGTGAATGAATGATGATGGATCTTTTCAGCTGATGAAGTTCACGAAACCAATTTGTACGATTTGTTCATGTATTAGACATTTGATTCTTCTGAGTCTTTGACTCTTGTTTTTTTTTCCTTTTTTTGGGGGTGGGGGTTGAAAGTACTGGTCCTCATTCACTTTTTTTATGTGCAAAAAATTGTAGTTTTATGGAAGAATGTCAGTCATCTGGATTTGGCATGATAAAATAAACTGTAACTGAAATAACACAAATTTATCATTTTATTTGAGCTAGTTGCCAAAGCAACATTACTCATTTTCATTTAGTTTAACTTTAACAATGAATGAAAACTATATCATACAACATATTTTTAAAAATTAAATAAAAATGACAAAATACACAACAAAACTACTAAAACTTGAACTAAAATAAAAACTAAACTAAAAATAATAAAAAATTAATTCAAAATAATAAAATCTATAATAGTAGCTCAATAAAATAATGCTGTTTGGATGATAATTTTCTCTCAAAAATATTGTTAGCTATGAGACATATGAAATATCACAAAGGAATAAGTACCTCAAAAAAGAAGGCAAGTGCTGCCACCCCTGTAGAGTCATTTAGAGCATCTCCCAAGCTACCATATTTTTCTTTAATGTGAACAATATGGAGCTGGGGGACAAAATGCATCATTATCATACAGTAACTTGATGAAAATAATAGCCTTTTTAGTGTTTTATTGTCCATACATTTTTGATAGTGACATGGACTCTCACCTCCATGGGATAACACTCCCCGTCCACAGAGTGCTCTGAGCCCTGGCCGCCGTTCTCTCCCCAGTGCAGGTGGAACTGGACGGCTTTGTATGTGGCTGGCAGACCCCCTCCACGGAGACGCACAGACTGAGGGAGGGTGAAGTGAGCTGGGAAGAAGCATAGAGCTTGTTATTATACTTAACTCTTACAATTACAAGATCAGAAAGATAATAGAATTCAGAGTAAATCAGGTAAACTCAGCTGAATTACATTTTTTGAACTCAAGTTAAGGGGATAGTTCATCCAAAGATGAAAATTCTGTCATCAGTTTCTCACCCTCATGTCGTTCCAAACCCATAAGACTTTTGTTTATATGTTTTAAAGTTCATGATATGACTTGAGCCTTCTGAAAAAACACATTTGCTTTACTGTATATGATGAAAAGATGTAGTTTAGGCTTTTATACGCATATAAACATTGATCAATGCACATACATAGAGTTCTTAAATTATGGTAAACAAGCTTCATCGCACTTGCTTGATGCATGAGGTTTGTTCATTGATTACTTTTACAATCTCTTGCGCTTTTTGATGCTTTGATTTTGGTTGAGTGGACTTTCAATGGATGGTATGATAAATGATAAAGTATTAAAAATACCTTCATTTGTGTTCTGGAGATGAACAACAGTCTTATGAAATAAATGACAATTTATTTAGAATGTACTTTTTTTTAGGCCTTTATATTTCAGTTAATTTACCTGAATGTCCATGGTTTTTCACACTCATATTGAAAACGTTCTCATGCCCATCAAAGATAAAACTGGTCAGTTTTGGATCATGCTTCACTTTGCGTGTGATGATATTGATAGGCGATTGTCTCTGACCTCCACAATTAGGAAAATTATTCTTCCACTCTGAAGGCTCTGGATGACACAATTGGAAAACACATTTCTCTCAGCATAAACATTCAACTGTATGAGAAACTTAAGGACTTTGCTTTGGTGATGACTATGCAAAATCCTGAGAGGTTGAGTCCAGGTACAAACTTGAGTGTTTGTCCTCACCTCTACATGTGTCTTGACAGGAAAACTGGCTCCGGTAGCACCACTCACCTGGAACAGAGAGAACATCCTGATGCAACTGGTTCCACGGACCACTACGGGAAAGTATTTAGATCTGTGACTTGAAGCCAAGGTTCAGAGAGGTCTTAAGCACCAGTTATGATGGTGGTCATTAACTAACAAATTTGTTTATTTTGCGGCCATATAAAGCCATGCTTTGATTCACAAAGTTTTTCCTGATAATCAGTGAGCCATCTAACTGAGTCCCCCTCCTGATCACCAGGTTTGATTGAGTGCAGAACATGTGCTTGAATGCAAGGGCACCTTAAGTGTTTTCACGTTACCCACTATCCACTTGTGCACTTTCATCCCATTCAGCTTAGTTTGCACAAAAAAGAATATTCATCATTTACTCACCCTTATGCCATTCCAACCTGTATGACTTTATTTCTTTATGAAACACAAAAGACGATGAAGTCAGTAGGGACCAATGCTGTTGTTTCTTTGGACCCCATTGACTTTCAATGTCAAGGACAAAAACACTGAAATTATATACAGTATATATATATATATATATATTTTTTTTTTTATATGCTCTTTTCTCCACAAATGAAAGGAAAAAAAAAAAAAAGATTACTGGAGTTATACACCACAAGAAAATACTATTTTAGTCTTTCTACTTTAAATTTCATATTTAACTCAATGTGTTAATTGCCGTTTCGTATTAATTAATTAACAGATTAAAAAAAGTTTCTGCATCATTATTCTTTATTTAATTTTTTTTTTCTCTTCAGTGTACAGGTTTGGAATGACATGAGGGTGAATACATGCAAAAAATTTCTCATTTCTCATATTCCTGTAATACTAGATGATTTTAAGCTTGGCATTAGTTTTTCTTTACGGCAGTGAATAATGTTACGGAGAAAACTAAACTGTTGCACGAGAAAGAAAGAAAAGTTGCACTGAAGTTGATGTTATGGACACCTATTTGTATTACATCAGCATGTGTCTTGTAAGTTCAAAGCAAGTGAAAGAAGACGGTGAACTGAAGAGGTCAGACAATATAAACAATACAAGGTGACCCTCTGTTAAAAAATAACCTGTCTGGATCCCATAACCCAAGATGCACTGTGTTACAGCCTAGATCAACTAATGACAGAGTAAAATCACTGACTGTCAGAGCAAATATGCTGTAAAACATTGCAACTCAAACTTGGCATGTGCAAGCATCATACTGAATTCTCTCATTCTCAAAATTTTTTTTATTTGATATTATTATCTGCATGGTAGTTAACCTAAACAGTATACCTAAAAATGCAAAATGCACAAAAATGTCCATACCCGAAACACATTTACAGTAATATAGTACAGTTTACATCTCCTTCTGCTTTTTGGATAATAATGGCTTTTGGTAAAATACCATCCCATGAAGTAACACCATTTTTTTTTTTTTTTGCAGTTTCAGGGCAAGGGCACATCCTAATATAACAGCACAAACTATGATGTTCTACTTGGTGCATTCAAGTTCAAAACATACAGGGTATTTAGACTAGGCAGAAAGAAATTAGAGTTCAAGAATGCAAGAACTGCATTCCACTCAAAGGACAAGGATCAGGAGAATGAGGCTGTGGTTCAACTAAAATTCTACTAGATAGCTAGTAGAAGTGTTTATGCATAGGTACTGCTGATTATTGAGTTGTACCAACAATACAAACACTTAGAACAATTTTCCCATAGAGATTATGCAATCACAACAAGTCAGCACCTTTCAGTCAGTGGACGGCACATTCATGCCACCATAATTCTGTGCAATATGACCTCTACAAAAGGCTATATGACTTTGTTTTAAAAATAAGTTATTTTATTAGTAATGTTTGTATGCATATGATGTGTGACTCTGTACAGTAGAGCCCAAAAGTTCATACATTCTCTTCTATATTTACTAAATTAGCAAATTGGACTCTGTTATTAATAGACAAGCAAGATGTCACTATTCAAAAGTATGCATTTATTTTGCGGTATTAATGTATGAAGCTACACTCAGTGCAACGTCATCCCTGCACACACACTTCTTATCCACGTCATTTTCACGGTTCAGCGCGGCGCACACAGACTTTCACTGAGTCTAAACTGCGGCTGACTTTTTTTTTTTCCGAAAAAAACTTAACTTCGCCATCCTCTTTCACTTCTGCTGTTATAATTTTCTATTTGCTCATGGGAAACGTCTGTTCGCCTGATAGGAGAAACATTCTTACCTGGGGACTCAATATTTCTGCCATAGTTGAATTCGAGACCTTGATCGAAGGTAATAGTAGGCCTACTTTAAAATAATACTACTGTACTTTGATGTAATTTATATCCGTCTCAGACTTTTGGACTCCACTGTATGTCCATATAAAACTAGTGAAACTATTATTGTGAGTATTATGTAGCCTACTGATCTATATATAATGACTAGCCTATATGTATGAATCTATAGGCTATATAATAAAGTTATCTATTATAGATCAGTGGTATTATGTAGATGTTTTAGTATAATGACGACGATTTAAGTTGTGTTGATAGGTTCCAAAACAATATTAAATTCAGCCTTACAATAGAAGGTCATATGCTGTATAATTACCCTTACGAAAAAGAAGTTTATTCAAGTGTGCTATTAGTATACTTCTTTTAAACTAAAAATAGGAAAGTATACGTTTAGTGTACTTTTTATGTACTTCTCAGAAATGGGCTTTATGTACTTCTCAGAAATATACTTAAAATGACTTGCTAAAATAAACTTGAAGTATACTACTTTTTGGTAAGGGCAGTAGCTGAAGATAAAATAGAGTTAGTAACGTTCCGGTTCATTCATTGTGATGGAGACTGTTATGTGAACCCAGTAACAACTGTGAACGATTCACTGATTGAAACCACTTCATGGGTTTGAATCAGAAAAAAATTTAAAATCATGTGTCATTCCAAAATTTTCTGACTGTCTAGATTTTAAACTTGTCATACATTTTTATTTTTGTCGCAGTTTGGAGTCCGAAATATATATCCTATCATTTTATGGAATACAGTAACTCAATACAGTACTTAAAATTAAAGTGATTGAATATCGAATATCAAAGTTTTAGGGTTATATTCAGCTTTAACAACTTTATTAAAGATTGGCTTATAAAAAAGATGTTTCTGCGCAAGACATCCAAGAATTAATGCTATTACTTTGTCATGTCAAAATTTTGCCTCTTCTATTTTGCTTAGAGCAGTCACTCATTCAACTGCATACTGCCAGACAGCCAGAGAGATACACAGCCAGACAGACAGATAAATTAGCCAGAGCGATAGATAGATAGATAGATAGATAGATAGATAGATCTACTACCTTACCTGAGCAGAGCTCTAGAACCAACAGAACAGATGAGATAGAGAGAATGGATGTCATGTCTACAATACCAATTCAAATCTCTCTGCCTTGTGTGACAGGAACCAATTTTATACAGTAGAGGAAAGGAAGGAGGGGGAGAGAGAGTTTTACAGGTAAGAGTTGAAATGACAGGTGTAGGGCAGCAAAGTAGGGCATTTGAGGTCCTTGATGAGGACATTTAACTCTCACAATACAACCTACGGCCAGTTGAACCTAGTGAAGTTTTCCCTGAACTCTGGCGTAATGAGTTTGCTTTATCAAACAGCCTGCAGAGGGCACTATTCTACAGGACTAAAGTGCAAAACAAAACCTGTTTATTATCCCTATTATAGGGCATGTAGTTTTAAGCACACTGTAAAGTTTGTCTTCGAGGACACACACATGCTTCAAACCATCTGCAACACACACTTGAGGAGAAATGAATGCTGGTTGTCAGTGAGCAACATATATCCATGGAGGAAATCATTTCAGTCCCTCCAGGTGACTGAGACTAATTAAGCATGTGGGGTGTCAGGACATGTTTGGATGTTTTGACTCAAGTGACTGTTTTGAGAATGATGAATGATGTAGAACAAGGCGGCCTGTCTTGTTAACCATGTCTTGTTGCTTTGACACTGAAATCAGTTAGCACGACAAAAGCGTCTAATTAGAGATAAGGGAAAACAACAATGCTGCTATCATAAATCACCCCAGCCTTTTTCCGACATAATGAACGCATCCCATCCCTCTCTATTTCTTTGCCTCTTGCGATGCCGTCTTGCGCTTTTAAAGATGGGAAGCCTGTGCTATAAATTAAATTAATGTTAGCCTCCTCTCAATCATTCATCATTCCAATAAAATGACGAGCTGTTGTACTGCATCGTTAAAACGGAGAGACCTATTAAAAAGTCATTAAAGTCAACTCAGCATGAAGGTCTGCCCTGTTGAGCTTTAGCCAGCCAAAATGGAATGACTCCATTTTATGGACATCATATAGCATGGACGTGTGATCACGAGTGAATGAAGTGGAAGGTAAACAGTAGGCAGCAAAGGGACAGCAGAGAATTAGAGAAAGGAATTAAATATACTGTAGTGGCTCCCAGTTTTGTAATAGTCCACTAAGATCTGGACTGTGATGCCTCATTGACTCGTAACTCATCATGGAGAATCATTACTCGAGAGTCTATTGACATCTACAGTAAGAGGCACTTAAGAGAATCACTATATTGTGTTTTACATACCTAAACGCACACATGCTGGTGTCACCATATAAGTAAGAATATCATATAGAAAAAAAATACAGCAGCTTATTACTGGGGCAGTAATTTAGAGATGAATAAAATATATAAAAAAGATATGTTCCAAACTTGTATGACTGCCTTTCGTCTGTGAAACATAAAAGAAGGTATTTTATGAAGAAATAAAAAATGACGATTCCCCTTCAGGAACTCGAGCTGCGTCGAAGTCGCTTTGGGAACGCCCTTGCGTGACCGCGTTCTGAA